GCACCACAGAACTACGGAAGAAGGAGGAAAACCATCTATACAGAGTGTTCCAGAAGAATGGATATCCAAGGAGTTTTATCAAGAGAAGCTTGAAGAAGAAGACATCCCAACAACAGCCACAGCAAGAACAAGCCACCAGACGGGTAGTCCTACCTTACATCAAGAATATATCAGAACTCACAACCAGATTATTGGCACGAAAAGGAATCTTCGTGGCCCAAAAACCGAGTGCTACTCTAGCGAAATTAATCTCTAGACCGAAGGACAACCGGGACAAAACCAAGATGAACAATGTGATATACCAAATCGACTGCAACGACTGCAACAAATTCTACGTTGGACAAACTGGGAAAAAATTATGCACACGAATAAAGGAACACAACGCGGCTGTCAGGAGGCATGACCCCCTGTCCTTGATATCTATACACGAGGACCAAGAAGGCCATAAATTCAATCTGGAAAATTTTGGCATACGGAGGCACGCCACACGGAAGAGAATTTCTGGAAGCATGGTACTCTATGGCAGGTTCAATCAACCGGTGCATCGAACCGAATCCAATTTACGCACCTCTACGTGCGAGAGATCAACATCGCAACCGAAACACTCAAGGTGGACCGAATAATGCATTAAAAAACGAAGAAACAAGGAACCCCTCGGAGTCAAATGAATAAAGGTCACAACGGAACTAGGAAGGATAAAGGTCACTCCAACACCGACCAGACTACGACGGCGAGGGATACCAAGTTCAAAGATCACGTGGGTATCGGCGAATGAGGACACGGGATAAAAGAACAACCAATGGAATCGCCCGACAGAATAACTAATTGCGGTCAAAGGTCATCCCTGGCCACCAGCACGTATATCAACAAACACGTAACACTACTGAACGCACAACCACTAACCCACCGCTACGCACAACTACGCACTGATGATGTCACCTCGATTGGTGACGAAACGTTTGCAACCAAATTGCCCAGCTCAGCGAACAAGCCAAAGACCAGACCAGTCTGAGCTGAACGATAAGTCGAACAAAACCAAAACACCGGGTTTCAGGCCACTGTGTGATGGTAAGCGGGATCGGTTTCACCTGACCGATCGCTCGTTCGACAGGTGTAACTCCATTACTTGGTCATGCAGGTCTGCTTTGTTTGACAAGGTAACATGAAGATGGCGGAGGGTGGCTTTACAGATTTTGGGGACGTTTTGTAGTTAATACGTTCTGTCAGAGTATACGTTTATAACCAGACACGTGTATCGGTCCCACTTACTTGTACTGTGTATAACGGTGGAACCAGTATATTGGGAGCAAAGACAAGACCGCAGGCCATCCTTTCAAGGGGTTCATCCTCGCTATGACTTAGTCTTACTCAGGTAGCAAAATAGGCCCTTTTGACTACCAGATTATTTGGAGATTTTCTGAACTTTAACAACTTTTTAACAGTTCTCCACTTAGGGGTCTTCCTCGGTATTAGACTCAATATTAGCTGGACTGACGCTTGTAGAATAACTGCCTCCAGAGTTTCTGCTGGGTATCAACCAGGTCTCACTATTGTTTTTTGAACCAATGTCCTCCTTTATTTGCGTCTGATTTGGTTTTTCCAGCGTAAACTATAATTGCTTCTACTTCGAGGGCTATGCGTGTCCAAAGAGGGAAGAACAAGCAACGGGTTAGGGAGAAATCTTCATCAGCCTTGTAAGTAGTATCGTGACAATGGTTTATGCGGACCAAATCAAGCAATAAAATTATTCACGAGTATTCTTAACGACTGAATCAAATTATTGCTCATGTGATGAATTCTCCCTCTGCTTGACCCCTTTATTATGGCCTACTGATTTATCAGAATCCAGTTCTGTGATGTCTTAACCGAACGAGTTGGTTTATGCGGGCATACAAAATTTCACATATCGGATCGATTTTGTCGTCCGATTGCGCACGTGATATTGGAACAGTGTCATCTGACATTTCATTCTTTTTTCCTGACTAGTGTGTATTATGGTTGGTATTGTTAATACCCATCCGGCCAAGTTGGAGCGTGTCTGAACGAAGATGATCAGGACGTGAAGAACTACACATTTTCACCTGTAACTGCTGTCTACCGTTCCATGGCTTGCAGTTCACCACTGTGTTCGAATCAACTGTCTGCAGCAAACTTTTGAATGCAAGAGTCATCTGGCCCGTTTGCCTGTTTATGGACCTTCCTGCGCGCAAAAATTTGTCATTTCCTGGAATTGACTTCTGCAGCACATCGATCGGAGGACTGGAGGCAAACAGTATCTGCTCCGACCAAATGAGAACAGATTGAACCTAACTCGAATTGGGCAAAACTTCAGGATACTTACGGTTTTTTCGAGGGCTTCTAGCCTTGCCAGCAATGCATCTTCTAGATGTTTTATTGATCAGATTTGTTTTGAGGTACAACAATTATGTCTTAGGGAGATACAGTGGCTGGAGAAAGGACCGAGGACAAATGGACAATCACGTGAGATTTTTTTCCCGATTGAGTTTTCTTTGGCACCTGGCTTCCAGTTCTTTAGGTCTTGCTTAATAAAACGTCAGCACCTGACAGGAATCCCCAGAGTGCGGGCATATTATATTACATTTTATTGTGATCAACAATCAGTAGTAACTGTATCCTGATTTGCTAGTGCTCATGATCATCTGATCGATTGAGTTTAGCGGCCAGCTTCTCTAACCGTGTCCACTTCCACACACAACAGGACAGGTTTTCTGGAAACATATTCTTACGATTAACAATTGAGCTTGTTAGCCGCTGTGTTCTATGTAACATTTCTATCACAGGTAGACACAACTTCACAGTGTATCAAGATATCCAAATCACGTCGAATTCGATGTAGATTTCCTGAGGGTTCTGTCCTTAAACAACCCTTCATGGATAAATGTGATCAGGTGACCACGATTTATCGATTTGTGAATGACTATTGAAATATGTTGATAAAATTTACAAAGTGAGCTTGGTAAGTTAGGCCGTTCTGTCTCGGTCGGGCCTGCTCCAACCCACATCCAGCTTCAACCTGATGAACAAGAAGGTTTCAACTTCTCAGTTCAGCACAAATGTTTCGTTAAACGTTCTTTCCAACAAGTATTATCAAGTTTTCTCACATAATCTTTCTTCCACATACCATGAGCAGGTCCTGAAATCCCGTCTTCGGATCAATATTTGAGCCTCAACGTTTTTTAAACACCTATCAAAAACTCATCTCACCTCTCACCTTTTGTCTATCGTACAGTTTCTCAATATTCATACTATTTTCGCTTTTGTGGAATCCTCTCCAACTCAGTGCAGTTTTACTCGCAAGAAAATTCTAGCTATGGGGCTGCTTAATTCTTGGGAGTTTTGTGCGTTGCAGGAGAGTATCGAAATTTAGGAAGTAATTAAGAGTCGTTTGGACGAAACACACTACTCATGAGATTGCTGAAAACTCTTCGGCAGCTCACAGGACCCATTATGCGGGAGCATTTTTCATCGTCTTTTTTATAGTTTAATCTAAATTGGATGCAGTTCAGCATTCGCCCACCAATTTGATTTCAACCGGAGGCAAACCTGAATTTCGTTCACGATGTCCTTCTCTAGTTGAATACCTTACATAAAGCCATCTATTGTTTAAAGTACATCCCTTCGCATCAGACGGAAACAAGCTCATAGTTCGGAATAACGTTTAGCACTTCTGCAACGACGGTTGGAAATTCGTATCAAGCACAGTGTATTGCAAGGCCATATAAATATCCTCATTGGTCAAATGAGTCCTGGTTTTTCAAAAACATTATGCAAATCGACAAGACTTAGCCTCCTGTGTAGTTCAGTTGTCAGGGTACTTGACCTGCAAACGAGAGATTGGCTGTTGAGACCCATCCCCATGGGTACTACGTGTCCTTGAACTTCTCAATTCAGTTGGACCAAATGCACACTGAACTGTAGCACTTCCGCTTTGAAAATATTTGAAATTTAACCGATACCTTCATTTTGTTGCGTTTTCAACTTTGGGTGTGTGGTTTGCAAGTCAAAACAAACAGAGAAGATAACCAATGTGATCTACACTCGCAGGTGAGAGAAAACACTTTGGTTGACATGACAAAAACATTTTAGGATGTGACCAAGTGATTTCACCAAGTGTTGACCTCAAGAACAAAAGCTGTCCCGCCGGTGTTTTTTGTTTTTGATACAGCCAAAGAATTTGTTTTTTCTTGCGCTAGTGTGAACTGAACAAAGCCTTTCATTTGAATTCGAAATCCTTTGTCATTGGCTAACTTTACTCTAGAGGTTATAGTTACATATCTCCTGTTTTTAGTCCTCCCAACTGACATCTGTTCAATTTGTTGATGATGTACAGTAATTGGCTACATATGGTTGGACGGTAGTTGATTCAGTTCGGAAGGCTTCACCATCCGTGAGTTTGGAAGCTCTGAATAGGGCTCCAGCGGCATCGTAATTAAAATCACCATCAAAGTTTTACGACGTTCTAACAGCCTGCATCGGACAATCGCAACTGGACGTCTACGTAATGATGTAAAGACATTGCTTGCGTTGCCAACCAATTGTTGAAAGACCCAATGCTCAAAAGAGAACCGCCGACATGAGTCCCAGATGTCAGCAAGCTATTTCCGCAACAACCGTTGGGAAAATGGTGCTGCATTCCTATCGGGACGATGAACTGGCACGGCAAATATACAATGGAAAAGTGCGAGCGCTTGGTTGCATTCGTTCCCCGGTCTCTGAGCATAGCATTCCGAACCGAGTGACTCGGTTAGAGTCCTAACAACAGCAAAAACATTAAAATGAATCTGGTAACAAACAAGTTCTGCTGATTGAAACATTTGATAAGAGTGACCATAATTTACGTCTCGGAAAGTTTCATCTGCGATTAACCAAACTGAAATGAAATTGACATTGAAACTGAACATGAGGTGGCCTGGTGAAGCACATTCAGTTGCCTGGACACACCAAAAACGAGAGATTCAGCTGGGGTCAAGTTGAGTCTTTTACAAAACCAAATTAGTTTGCAAATAAGTGTATTTCGCTAATTTCGTGCTATTTGTGGTCAAGTAGAACATGAGGTTGATGAAAAGTCGGAGACTGTGCCTACCTGATGAGCCCAAAGTGGAAGGACGAAACCGGTCGTGGGAAGGGATTTCGATTTCAGCAACCTTGTGAGTAGTGCATTACGTCTATACAAATCGAAATCGGTTCCAAAATGTCGTAATTAACTTTATAGGATCATGTGTTAGAAGGACCACGAGGTTGCATCGCTGGATACTTCAAAACAAGAAGGCAAAAATTTCGGTGTCGTACGTTTGACATAGCTGGGTCGATTACCTGCATACATGAAAGAGCTTGCAAGAGCTTGATGGGTCGATTACCTGCATACATGAAAGAGCTTGCAAGGGCTTGATTCACCATTAGGTTTTCCAAAATCAATTTCAAAGTGTAATACACCAATGAAAGAAATCCCCAATCACGGCAAAACTGGCAAGAATTTGTGGACGATTGAAGTAACAGGTGGCCATTGTTGTACCATGTCTCAACCAGTTGGTGTCCAATAACTGCAACCTTGATGTATGTTCACCTAGCAGATCGACTGTAAAGAAGTTCACAGAATGATGCACAAACTCTATCGGGATACCAGACGCTCATCGGGGCTCAAAGGACCAAAGACTATTAGAGTTCTTGTTTGATTTTTGAGGTAATGCGTTGCAATTTGAATTGGGCTTTATAAGATTATCGCTCCTCATTAGGTAATTTGAGGCTGATTACTCGAATGAGCAGTAGTTTGTATTGGCAGCATGTGGCTACTGATTCCTGACAAGCGTATGGCCGATTAATTCACACTGTCTAACCGGCAAATCCGGGAGTTGCATTCACTCTAACTTAGACTTCAAGGTGCTTTGTTCTAAAACCAGCTGATAACGACGGAATTCAGCAGGGAAATTTAGTTTTCTTGTCTGTTATTGAACTTGTTGCGGACTCGCATCTGACGCATTTATCAATCAAGCCGTATCATCTGATGAGTTTGACAGAATCAGACACGTGACCCAATCAGCTGTTCCAGAAAAATGGTCATAAACCAATCACCAAAGAAGCTTATAAATTTTACAATGACTAACTGGTACAGAGCCTTTCAGTTCTCCTGTTTTGAGACAAAAATCTACTCCACGAGAGATTTTTTGCTACTCAATATCATGACAATGTTTGATCTGTAAAATATAAAACTTGGTGTACCGATGACCAAAAGTATAAAATTTATGACGATTGTATATACGAAGAAAATAAAGGTAGTTGTATATTCTTCAGGACTTCTGGGTCTTTCGAAGCATCAAATGCGGCAAAATGAGGTTTTTAAATCTAAAATTTCGCCTTTACACAAATTTGTCAACATTCCTACTTTATGAGCAAGGTTTTGATGCTAGCATTCAGAACAAACTGTCCAATGACGGGCTGGATTATTCTGTAATTCGCACCGGGATTCATTCATCATCCTGAGGCAAAATCTATCTTTGACGATCAACATATTGCTTAGACAAGGAGTGGGTGTGCATATTGCATAACTTCGCCTTATTGTACACATGGGGTCGGTTCTTGCTTAGAAGCCAACCGCAACTGTCTAGCTGGACACTCAGAATAGCACATCTTAAAAATGTTTCGGGATATCCGAACCCACGACATTCCGGATTTAACTTCACATAACTCACGCGTTTCAAGACTTGTTGTTACGTCATTGGTGCGCCTAAAATTCCAATTTAACACACAAATTTAGCGACAAATCTGGAGGAGCTGGTGTAGGCCATCTGCTCGTTCTCGTTGTGAGTGACGTTTTTCGTGCAGGCACCATCAACAGAATCATGGGTTTCGTCACACGCCATTTATATCGACGACGTGAATTTTTTTCACCTTGGAAGTCATTATCCTTTTGCAAAATCGCAACTTATCCCATCCTGCCAGTCGGTTGGATGTTGGGCACGGAACAGACAACCACGGTTTTATTTCGTGGTTGTTGATCTAACCAGACTACTAAGGGAGGGCTTTTCACAATATACATATACATATATACAGAAAACCTACAGGACTGGACAGACATTATATCAGACGTGATAATTTAGATGCGTTCAAATTCCGGTGGTTCAAATCCCGGCACGGCCATTGGATATGCACTCCCGATGAGCTCCAATAAGAGCGAAACTCGAGTCTAGTGCTTCCCCTTGGTATGGACTCATCGGAATAATTACGCCAGAACAGGAACACGACCGTTCAAACGAGAGTGGTGTGACTATGAACAAAATACCTATCCCGCAAAACCCCAAAATTGTAACCATTATACAATCCTTAATAGCTTCGCGTCATTCTGACTTTAAGATATCTGTTACACTGGAAGCTGTATTGAGTCTTACAGATAGGTATCCAAGAAAATGGCTTTTAAGACCCGACAAATCAAATCTAAAAACCGGCGGCTCTAGGAGACCAGCTGACTAAGGTCACGTGTCCTATGGTTTGGCATAACCAATGGTTGTATCTTCCACTCTCCGCAGATGATTTTTCAGTCAGAAACAATACGAATGTGCATTTTACCGCAAAACTCGATCTCAACTTCAAATACAAGATTTCGGTAAAAGAAATTTTTTTCACACAAAATGAGACTGAATGTGTAGTCGTCTACATAGATGATGAAACAGGGTTTCGGTTGCGAAACCTGTCCCTTCGAGTACACGTTACCCGGAAACCTCGAGGTTTTGGTCTTTGGTGCCTGGGACGGCTTTCATGAAGTCAGAGGCTAGACAAAACACCCAACTCGTTAGGAAGGGTTGCTTTGGCAGGCCAACGGTACCTCAGCAGTGGCTCTTGTGGTTTGGTCGTGGTATCCGAAAAACTGGAGTAAAGCTGTGCGAACGTTCACCGGCTCCTTCACTATACCCTGGGGTGATGTTTTCATCTTTTCGGAGCATCTGGTGGTAATTTCTACCGACGCCATCAAATCAGAACTGGAGGTTTTCGGTTTCAGTCTAGTACATGGTACTTGGTGTTAGGACTGGAATCGAATCTCAGTCCAAGGTAAGCTTGCATCGTAGGCGGAGTGCGTGGGGAATCTGTGAAGCCGACGCACTTTCTCAGACAACTCAGCAGCCGTAAATTTGAAAGATGAATATACATGTATCGCCATATGTCGAATATCGTAGTGAATGAAGCATGAGGCGGCCCGGTGCAGCACATTCAATTGCCTGGAAACATCACCGATGAGGGACTCAGCTGGGTTTTAGGTGAGTCTTCCAAAAAACCAAATTACTTTGCAACTAAGTGTTTTTCGTCATCCCAGTACGTACTATAGTTTCGATAATCAAAGGAAAACTGATCTGTTTACAGATCCAGTCGAAGCAAACTGAAAAGAGTCAGCTGATTTGTTCTTACGCACTGTTTAGAAGCTTGATTTTTCCACCCATACGAAGCGCCACGAAAAACAAACATGTAACATTAGCTTGTGTTCCAGTTGTTCCTAAATCATAGACTGTGGAGTTTTTGCACTGAGCACACACACATTGGCCTGGTCTTTTAGAATAAACCAAACAACCTATCGCAAATTCTCGTCTCACGCAGTGCAAGCGAATACTACTGATGAGGCAGGCAAGTAGTATGTTTTCTCTTAAATCAGCTCCGCGTCTCTTAAAAGTGAGATCTGTTACAGAATTTGTGGAGTCGCTTTACAACATTCGCTTGCGTTTGAGTAACAGTCAATAAATACCCAGGAAAGTTCTGAAAGATGCGTTCAAGGCGAAGATGTATATTCAGTTTTATAAACAAGATGCAAATGAAGGCTCACTGACGCTTGGAAATTCTAGCAAGATAAAAGACCCATCTATATTCTGTAATTCGCACCGGGATTCATTCATCATCCTGAGGCAAAATCTATCTTTGACGATCAACATATTGCTTAGACAAGGAGTGGGTGTGCATATTGCATACTTGCGCCTTACTGTACACATGGGGTCGGTTCTTGCTTAGAAGCCAACCGCAACTGTCTAGCTGGACACTCAGAATAGCACATTCTAAAAATGTTTCGGGATATCCGAACCCACGACATTCCGGATTTAACTTCACATAACTCACGCGTTTCAAGACTTGTTGTTACGTCATTGGTGCGCCTAAAATTCCAATTTAACACACAAATTTAGCGACAAATATGGAGGAGCTGGTGTACGTCATCTGCTCGTTCTCGTTGTGAGTGACGTTTTTTGTGCAGGCACCATCAACAGAATCATGGGTTTCGTCACACACCATTTATATCGACGACGTGAATTTTTTTCACCTTGGAAGTCATTATCTTTTTGCAAAATCGCAACTTATCCCATCCTGCCAGTCGGTTGGATGTTGGGCACGGAACAGACAACCACGGTTTTATTTCGTGGTTGTTGATCTAACCAGACTACTAAGGGAGGGCTTTTTACAATCACATATATGCAGAAAATCTACAGGACTGGACATTATACAGACATTATATCAGACGTGGTAATTCAGATGCGTCCAGCGTGCGTTGGTGGAGTGGTGGTTACACGCCCACCTCGGATGTCAGATGCCGGGGTTCAAATCCCGGCACGGCCATTGGATATGCACTGTTGATGAGCTCTAATAAGAGCGAAACTCGAGTCCAGTGCTTCCCTTTGGTGTGGAATCACCGGAATAATTACTCCAGAACAGGATCACCACCTTCTCAAACGGGAGTGGTGTGATTGAACAAAATACCTATCCCACAAAACCCCAAAATTGCAACCATTATACAATCCTTGATAGCTTCGCATCATTCTGACTTTAAGATATCTGTTACACTGGAAGCTGTATTGAGTCTTAACGATAGGTATCCAAGAAAATGGCTTCTAAGACCCGATAAATCAACTCTGACAACCGGCTCTAGGAGTCCAGCCGACTAAGGTCACGTGTCTCATAGTTTGGCATAACCAATGGTTGTATCTTCCACTCTCCGCAGATGATTTTTCAGTCAGAAACAATACGAATGTGGTTTTTACCGCAAAACTTGATCTCAACTTCAAATGCGAGATCTCAGTAAAAGCATTTTTTCCACACAAAATGAGACTGAATGTGTAGTTGTCCACACAGATGATAAAACGGAGTGAGTTCAAAAATTAATATACGTGAGTTTCAAAGAAGTAAAGTCAGCTGATACACAGAGGTCCATGTTTTTGGAACAGCTATTTTCCTGGTCCTCCTGTTTTTTCGAGTAAGGGTTATACGGGAAACTAGAGATTTTGGTCTTTGGTGACTGGAATGGCTTTCATGAAGTCAGAGGCTAGACAAAACACCCAACTCGTTAGGGAAGGTTGCTTTGGCAGACCAACGGCTCTTGTGATTTGGTCTTGGTATTCAAAGAACTGGAGTTGAGCTGTGTGAATGCTCTCTGGCTCGTTCACCATACCCATGTTGATGTTTTCATCTTTTCGGAGCATCTGGTACAAGATTTCGGTAAAAGAAATTTTTTTCACACAAAATGAGACTGAATGTGTAGTCGTCTACATAGATGATGAAACAGGGTTTCGGTTGCGAAACCTGTCCCTTCGAGTACACGTTACCCGGAAACCTCGAGGTTTTGGTCTTTGGTGCCTGGGACGGCTTTCATGAAGTCAGAGGCTAGACAAAACACCCAACTCGTTAGGAAGGGTTGCTTTGGCAGGCCAACGGTACCTCAGCAGTGGCTCTTGTGGTTTGGTCGTGGTATCCGAAAAACTGGAGTAAAGCTGTGCGAACGTTCACCGGCTCCTTCACTATACCCTGGGGTGATGTTTTCATCTTTTCGGAGCATCTGGTGGTAATTTCTACCGACGCCATCAAATCAGAACTGGAGGTTTTCGGTTTCAGTCTAGTACATGGTACTTGGTGTTAGGACTGGAATCGAATCTCAGTCCAAGGTAAGCTTGCATCGTAGGCGGAGTGCGTGGGGAATCTGTGAAGGCGACGCACTTTCTCAGACAACTCAGCAGCCGTAAATTTGAAAGATGAATATACATGTATCGCCATATGTCGAATATCGTAGTGAATGAAGCATGAGGCGGCCCGGTGCAGCACATTCAATTGCCTGGAAACATCACCAATGAGGGACCCAGCTGGGATTTAGGTGAGTCTTCCAAAAAACCAAATTACTTTGCAACTAAGTGTTTTTCGTCATCCCAGTACGTACTATAGTTTCGATAATCAAAGGAAAACTGATCTGTTTACAGATCCAGTCGAAGCAAACTGAAAAGAGTCAGCTGATTTGTTCTTACGCACTGTGTTCCAGTTGTTCCTAAACCATAGACTGTGGAGTTTTTGCATTGAGCACACACATATTGGTCTGGTCTTTTAGAATAAACCAGAAAACCTATGGCTATTTCCCGTCTCACGCAGTGCCAGTGAATACTACTGATGAGGCACGCTCAGCGTCTCTTGAAAAGTGAGATCTATGACAGAATTTGTGGAGTCGCTTTACAACCTTCGCTTGCGTTTGAGTAACAGTCAATAAATACCCAGGAAAGTTCTGAAAGATGCGTTCAAGGCGAAGATGTATATTCAGTTTTATAAACAAGATGCAAATGAAGGCTCACTGACGCTTGGAAATTCTAGCAAGATAAAAGACCCATCTAGTGCATCCAAATTCATAAGAAGGTGACCCAGTCACAAACGAAAAAAAACATTCCGAATGCTGTCATTTTTCATTTAGGTTTAACAGTTATCCGGCCTGTTCAGACCATCAACAGGTTGGTTGACAGGCAAGCGACGCAGTGTACAAGCAACCCGACTTCACACGTATGGAGTGATATTCATTTATACATGCTATCCTCGTGTGTAAGTTACAATGAGAATTTCATTTAATGAACAGAAAGTTACA